CACAATGTACCAGTAGAATGGATAAAACTTCAGAGAATACTGACAACGCCATACATTGATGGAAACACTGAACAACTGAACAACAGAAACTCTTCCTTACAAGTAGTGGAACCATTTTGAAAAAGGCCTGGTAGTTTCTTATTTAATTAAATATTCACCAATTGTTTGACCACAGAAATTACACCCCTCGGTATTTATGCGAGACAAATGAAAGCATACATTCACAGAAATAAGTGACCAAGAATATTCACAGCCTCTTTATTTCACAATAGCCTCAAACAGGAAACTGCACCAGTATCCATTAAAAGACTAGATAAACTATTGCATACCACATTCCATGGAGTGAAAGAAGCCTTACACAAAGGAGGATAGCCCGTGTTTTTCCATCTGCGCAAAGTTCTAAAGCCTTAGATAATGTGCACTTGAAATGTGGCTATGCCAATGGAGATGTAATATAAGAATAAAATACACACAGAGGCTAAGGATGTGGTTTACTGGGACAGCACTTGCCTCACAGGCAGGAAACCCTGGCTTTCATTCCCGGCACCATAAATAAATAAATAAAACACATCTGAGATTCCAAGGAATTATGATGCCCCCCAAAATGTAAACTATCTCATTAATAATTTTTTATATTGATTAAATACTTAAATGATATTATTTGGCATAGATGGGGTTAAAATATATTTTAAAGCTTAGTTGCACTTTTTTACATTTGACGTGGATACTAGATTTTTTTTTTCATCATTTTGAGACAGAGTCTCCCGATGCAGTTCAGGCTGGCCTTGAGCTCACTTTGTAGCCCAGGCTGGTCTCGAACTCGCAAAGATCCTCCTGCCTCAGCCTTCAGAGTGCTGGGATTACAGGTGCTCACCACCACACCTGGCCTAGAATTTTAATTAGATATGCATCCTGAAGTAGAAATATATTGTTGTGCAAGTATTGCACCATACTGATCTAAATCTGGGAAGAAGACAAAAGGGAAATGGTGTGGCGCACCATTGGAGTTTGAGGCCTGCCTGGAGAATTTAATGAGCTCCTACTTTGAGATATTGGAGAATATGTGTGTCCGTCATGTTATCCTTTAGAACCTGTTTCAGCTGTCACACTCACCTCATCTAACAAAAACCCTAGCAGGAAGCCTGGGAAGGAAAGAGAAGGGCCTGATTTCGCAGACCCCAAGGCTGGGCTATGCCAGAGGGAAATTCTCAAGTCTTCCTCTCCCTGTGCTGGGAATGGAGCCCAGGGCTTCACACATGCTAGACAGACACACTACCACTGAGCAGCACCCCAGTCCCGGAGGGGGAATTCTAATATGGAACTTCCCCGTGGAACTTCCCCCACAGAGAAAAAGGCACCTGTAGGGTAGAAGTGATGAAATCAGCGGACTCCTTGTCACAAGGCTGAGTCTGAGAGCTTCCCAAATTTAACCCACCCCGCCGTAGCAGCTTTTTTTTTTTTTTTTTTTCCCCCCCAGAACCGAGAATCGAACTCACGACCTCGCGCTTGCCAGGCAGGCGCTGTGCCACTGAGCTAAATCCCCAGCCCCCGTAGCAGGCTTTCGCAGGAAAAGGATTTTCAGGATGCCTCAGAGAGTGACCCGACCCGCGGGTACAGTCAACGAGGACCCTAGAAGGGGAGTGGGGAGTATAAAGGGACAAGAGACACGAAGAATGGAGGCAAGACAGGATTCTGATCAAGCCTCTTTTATTGGCGGGGAGTATTGCGAATAAATAGGGCGCGGGGAAATACGGAAGTTCTTAAGGCGGGAGTAACCAAGTAACCCGACAAGGGCGGGAGTAGCTAGGCAACGGTGGGCAGTCCTGACTTAAAGGGAAAGGTTCCTCTCTTTGGAGAAGTAGGCAGGATAACAGAAACTTAATGCTTAAGACAGCTACTAATATACAGTGGAAGTCAGCTACAGTCTCCTACAAGAGAGGCATGAGTGGGTTTTATTAGGCAAAGATAGAGATTATAGGACGCACTCAAGAGAGGAATATAGGCGCTCAAAGAAAGGAGATGCGTTACAGTTTGGGACTGGGTACATTTATAAGTCTCTTGGCGTGAAAAACTAGCCTCGGGCTGGAGATATAGCTCAGTGGCACAAGGCTTGCCTGGCAAGCCTGAGGTCATGAGTTCGATTCCTGGTACCAAAACAACAACAACAAAAAGAAAAACTAGCCTCTCTCAAAAGGCTACCAGCCCATTCACAGGCATGCTTGGATTTCTTTGTGGGTTGTTTGTTTCTTGGGGTTTTCTGATAAGTGATTTAAACATTCTCTGGATTGGCTCAACCTGTTGTTTACTTTCTTAATTGGGCCAGTTTATGACCTTCTGTGATGGGTCTGGTAGGAATGGGGTATAAATGTAGTCAAGGACTGTTGACCTTGGGGCTGTACTTAATCTCAGCACCAGGCTCCTATTCCTTACTTTCTTGATTGAGCCAATTTATGGCCTTTTAGAGATGGTCTGGTAGGAAGAGGTGTAAATTTAGCCAAGGAATGCCGAAGGCAGCTCTCAGGCCCCAGAGGAAACCCGGAAACTGCAGTGCTCTCTTTGTGTGATTACATTTCAAAGAGATGGTTCCCAGGTCCTTGAGAAAGACTTGGTTGTAAACTGCCAAGAGACTTGAGACTCACCTACATCTCAAACGGGCAGAGAAAAAAAATTCATAATATCTTATTTAAAGTAAACACTGCCCAAAGAGAGGTCAGCGGCCTCTCCTGTTAGACCATCCCAAGTGTCAGGCTCAGGGTCAGAGGGAGGCCAGGGACCTCCCAGCAGGCACAAGCCTGCCTAAAGTTTAGTCAAGCGAGGGAAACAGTAAGATTAAGGTGGCAGTGTTCTGTCAAGATGACTATCTGGGTTCGAATCCAGACTCTGCTGCTGGATGACCTGGAACAAGTTTTTCAACCTCTCTGGGCCTGATTTCCTCACCTTATAAAATGCAGAAGATTATACTTACCTCACAAGAGATGGTTTATAGATTAAATATATTAATCCAAGGATAGCACAACAGTACCTGGCACGTAATAAATGTATTACTTGATATTGGTGAATTGCTTGATCACGCTGAGCCTCCATTTCCCCCCTTCTATCTCAGGATTTATGTGTGAAATTAAGTGAGATCATGGATACAAACACCCTTAGCTCAGGCCTGGCACCTGGCAAGACTTTCTTTAATCACTAGCATTCTTGTAACTATAGTTACTGATGTTACCAATCTGTGTATGACTCGCATACAGTGCATGTGTTAAGTAATGACAGCTCACGCTCTGATTTCCCATTACTATCACTATTTATTATTGTTATTACCTCATATTATTCTCCATGATTAATAGTGATACTGACAGCATTTCTATTATCTCACCATTCTCCAAATCTCAATGCCCTTACATCCAGCATTTCCATTGCATATCAGGGTCTCTGATCTCCAAACCGGTTTTTTCCCCCTACTCTGGGAGAAAGCAAAGGTGGGGCTCAGGTCCAGAACCCGAACACTGAAGCACAGACTAACCCAACGCCAGCACATATGGGCCTTCTTGACAAAGGGGAGGCAGAGGAGCAAAGGGCAAAGCTCTCCTCTGCTCCGTAAATCGTCGAAAGTCCCATTCCCCCCCCCCAAGCGCCTTAATGGTTTCATCCAGTTTCCCCCCTTTTCTATGGGATGACCCACAAGCCGGCTGGACCCCAGGAGATCAAAAAACTCAAGCCGTGGCTCTGCTTGGGTCACTGCTCTAGAACTCAGCTTGTCCCTCTGGGACCCGTCTTGCCTTGCCCACCTTGGCTCAGCTTCAAGAGCTTAGTGTGGGGGCTGGGGATTTAGCTCAGCGGCAAAAGCGCCTGCCTGGCAAGCGCAAGGTCGTGAGTTCGGTTCCCGGTACCGGAGAAACACAAAAACAAAAAAAAAAAAAAAAAAAAAGAGCTTAGTGTGGAAAACAAATGAGGCGGAAATGACTCCTTTAAAGCACCATACAAAGTAATTAAATCTTTATTGAAGTCTTTCTGTGCCAGCATCTGGCCACGCTGAGGTGGAAGGCACAGTCCCTGCCCTGGAGGAGCTCACAGTCTAGTAACAAGGCAGAAGAGAACAGAATTCCCACAGAGAGACGGGGACCATTGCTGCCCCACTTCCCAGATTCCCACCTGGCCATGGGAAAGCGAACGGGAAGTTTCTCTGCAACTCTCCCACCTTCCCTGGGGCAATGGACTTCTCCCACTCTGTCCTGGGCACCACGAGAGGGGTGCAGCTGCTATCTCAAGAAGCTAGAACACCCTGGCAGTATATATACAACAGTAATTCTTATTTCCCAAAGCCGCAAACCAGTGCAGCAGAAGCTGGGGATACTGGGGACATCAAAAGAACAGGGGGCTGGGCCAGCCCAGTCCAGATGTGCGAAACGGAAGTACTGGGAAGAGTTGGTACCCAGGGCCAGGGAAGTAGGGTGAGAGGGAAGTTTTCAGGTGGAAAAGCTCATAGGAGGGCACCACCAGCCGCAGCCAACAGCACAGCTGCCAATCCAAGCCCAGGAGCTGCAGAGCCTTTACTTGAGGGTTTCGTGGTCCAACCTTTTGCAGGGTATTGCACCACATTACTGCGGTCCTGGTGGCCAGCTGCACCTCCAACCAACCTTGACTCATCTTTCTGGGAGGGCTGTGCGTCGTGGGGAAGAGTCTGGCTGGTTGGGGGTGGGGTGGGTTTGGTGGTAGAGGTGAGGGCAGTTGGCGCTGGAGTGGAAGTGATGACCGAGGAGGTTGGAGCCGGAGTGGTTGGAGCTGGGGTGGTTGGAGGGGGCAGGAGGACAAGGGGCGGGATTCGAGGAGAGAAGTAGGTCTTGTTGCGGAGGTCTGAGTTACAGCGGGGCCCCTGGCAGCAGGAGCCACTGAGTGTGAACCCGGGACCCGTCACCCCATCTCGGGTGCAGAACTCATCTTGGACACAGCCCCGGACGGGCAAGGACACAGTCACATTAGCTGCAGGAGGGAGACACGGATAAGTCAGTGGTTGGAGGGAAGGAGGTTGGTACAGCCAGAATCAAACACAGGAACATGTGGAGCAAGACAAGATGAGAGGGTCCTAAAATAGGACAGAAGGGCTCTATACTCACTGATAAGTAATCTCAGGTCTGGTCCCACCCTGACAAACAGGATCTCACTGTCTTTGGCACATGGTGAATCACGTTTTCACAGTGCTTTAAGAGGAAAAACGTGTACCCTGAACTACAAGTCTACCTTGAAACAAAGGTTTGGACTACAATACACACCTCTCCTAGGAGCAGAACAAGCTTCCCCTGTGTCCCTCGGCCATTCCCCCATCCAGCACCCAACTCATCTCGATCAAAATTTAGTCTTACAGCCAGAACGACAGCTCTCGTACCGGGCACAGGATGGGAGTGAAGAACTTTATCTCCCCTGGTTCTGAAACAGCCAGGAAGCTGGCTGCATCTCACCTAATACTCTGGGACAGGGGAACAGCCCTGAGTTCTAAGGGCTCATTTCCTGCACTACATGGGCAGAAGCTTAGAAATTTAAATACATTTTGCATTGTATGTTCCCTTGTTCTGTATCTGCCATCTCTGTTTATGAAAACACATCCCCTCTTCAAAGTTTTTTAGGATAAAAGCATCCCTATCGTCAGCCTATACGGTTATAGGACTGCATTTCCGGTAATACTCCAATCACAGTCCCCAGAATGCGTTGGATGTGGGGAACCCAAAAGCCCCACACTACCACCCAGGATGTCTGAGAAAGGCTGTAACTCCTGCAGGTGCAGAGCGCCCAGGGCTCGCTCACCTGCAATTAAGGTGACGTTGCCGTCGAAGCAGCCCTTGTAGACGCGGTCGCTGGCGTTGTAGCAGCTCACAACGGGCGGCACCGTGCCCTGACACTTCTCGTGGCTCAGCCCCACGCAGCTGTAGCACTCGGCGCCGTTGGCCTGATACGCGCTCTCATTGCCTGCAGGGAAGCAGAGAGTCGGGAAAGGGTCCGCAGACCTGGGAACCGCAGCTCTGCGAACCCCGCAGTGGGGCGTGGCCACGGCAGCCATTACCACGCCCCTTGCTTCTAGTCCCGCCCCCAGCATCACCTCCCGGGCCGGCGAGGTGAAGCCCCGCCCACTGCATTCAGCACCTGCGAGTGGCCCCGCCGCCCCCGCTCCACGGACCTGCGGGGTTGAGCCCTCGCGAGGTGAGGTTGAGCTTGGCGTTGCATCGATCCTGGGCGCACTGCTGCAGCTGGATGAAGGCCAGGAGCCCGTGGAGGTCCAGTCCACGGTCGTTCTTGCCGGGGAGTCCCGAGCCACAGCCCCGCACCGCCACCGAGAATTGCCCGTGGACTGCGGAGAGGGAAGAGGGCAGGTCAGGGGCGGGACCCGGGGCGGGGCCTCAAACAGGAGGACGCCCCGGATGGACGGGGCTGACGGGGGCGACCAGCAGGGTCCGCGGAGGGACCGGAGAGGACCGGCGGAGGGAGGGGCGGGGTCGTGGAGAGCGCAGTCCAAGGGCACAGACTGACGACAAACACAGTCGAGGGGTAGGCCAATGGATAGACCACGCAAGCCTGAGAGGGGCGGAGCTGCGCAAAGCAACAGAAGAAACGGAGGACTGAAGATGCGCAGGACCCAGGAGGACTGGGGTTTGCTAGGAGGCGTGGCCTGGGAGAAGGGGTTCCTTCCCGAATCTTAGGACGGCGTTGCTCAGAGTACTGAGTCTGCATACACAGGGGCTGCCACAGAGGCGGGTCAGACGGACGAACCTCAGCCTGGGCACCGAGAGATCTCTCTTAGAAGATTCTCTGTGACCTCGAGACCCATCGGATAGCGGAGTTTGGGGGGCGGGCGGGGAGGATTCCTGCAGGACCCACGTGGAAAAGGTGGCCTCGTCCCAGACCCGGATTGTCCTAGGGCCTCATAACTCGCAGTCCCCCACCTCTGTTATCCCCGGGAAGGAGGGGCGAGGGTCCTGGTTAGGATGAATGGGTGGGGTGGGGTTAAAAGGGGTGTAGCTGGGGTTGAAGGGGACGATAAGAAGGCCAGGCCCGGTTGAAGGAGCCCGAAGAGGGTGGAGGGTGCTCAAGGACCGCGGGGTCGCACTCACTGGTCTCTACCGCCCCCACAGCCTCTGTGCAGACTTCCACGCCCGCCGCGCACTTCACCGTCTTCATCTTCTGTGGCGAGCACCCGTCGTCCGCTTTCTGCACGCAGCTGTAGCACTCCAGGGCCAGCGCTCCTGCGGGTGCGGGGCCGAGCAGAACTGAGCGATCCTTGCTGATGCGCCCTCCCACAGGGGAGAAAGAGCCCTTCCCACGCCCTGCGTCCCCGGATGAGACCGTCGTGCTGTGCACCCTTTCCCAAGACAGCAGCCGAGGAAACCTTCCCACCAATCAGGGCCAAGGGATAACTGGACCCTTTTCCTGCACACCGCCTCTGCCTATGGTGGGAACGTCCTTCCCACAGCTCCGCCGGCCGGAGGAGAGGAATCCCTGCCGTGATGCCCCTCCTGCCAGCGTAGGAGCGAGAGGTCCCCACAGGTCTTTGCTCAGGGTGGGAGAACTTTCCCCACAGCCAGCTGTATTAAGGGTCCCTTCCCATGTCCCCTCTGAACAGGACAGGGGATCCTTCCCCCAGCACCCCTCTGCTCAAGATGAGAGGGTTCGGGCTGGGGATTTAGCTCAGCGGCAAAAGCGCCTGCCTGGCAAGCGCAAGGTCGTGGGTTCGGTTCCCGGTACCGGAGAAAAACCAAAAAAA